AGAATTCTGCTCTGAATGAATATTGACCATACAATCCTCTCAGATTTCTTCATGGTTTAACACCTACTCAGTTATGTGATCTTTGAAGGTCTTCTGTTCTGTACAGAAGTATTGCTAATCACTGTTGTAAATTGCTAGTGTCTGTATACCTGTATTAAGTATTTTTCTAGAACTCCTAGGTTATGGTGAGGGATAACATCAGCTGTATCAAGGATTTGACCCTCCAGTTTAAACACTTTTTACACATTCCAAAAGCATTGTATGATTTCTTCAGTTGCTTCCCAGACAATGGCTAGATCATGATTAAGCAGGTAAAAACTAGATTTGGTATTAGAGTGATGCATATTATTTTGGGTCCTGTCTTCAGCTATATTTGATCTGCATGTATTTGGACTGTGATGTCAGCAAGGAAGAATAAATGTCACTGTGTGTTTGTTTTGGCTTCCTGCACTTCCCATTTTTACAGCACACATATTAGAAGCCTAGTTGAATGAGAGGTATATGGACCCCCAAAAATTCAGAAGTCTCCAGCAGGGCTCTGGGTATTCAGTTGTGTGTGTGTGTCATTTGCTGCTATGATTTGAAACAACAAAATGAAACCCCCCAAGTTCACTTCTGTTCACTAAAAAATAAGTAGCACACTGTTATATTCTTTGGTCAGTTGATTTTATTTTACTTTTCACATTGCCATATATATTCTTGAGCAAAAGACTGTGTAGGAAAAAGCAGAGAGCTGTAAAATGGGCAACAAAACACTATATAAATCCACAAGTTCATTAGAATTAGAAATGAGTAATCCTAGAATACACTGCTACCTTAAAAAGTGCTGTTCGTGAGCAGAGAAAGGTAGCAGCAATGCAATAGCAAAAGAATTCAGTTTTAATATGAAGAGAGAAGTAACATTTAAGGTCAAATGTACTCTATATGTCTGTTTCTTGGGATTACTATTGCATGTGGGGACAGCATGTGTGTTGGACCTGTTGCATTGTTCAAAAAGTATGTGGGAAAACTACACAATACAATCAAGGCGCTACTTACCTCGACATAGGTAATGAAGAGCTCATAGATCTCCCTTCTACCACACTTGCATCCAAACACTTTCAGTATGATTCTTGGAATTTGCAATGGTATATATGATTTGTCCAGTGTTAATTGAGCATTGTTCTAGTTTCATGGTTCATAGTTTTTGCTGCTTGTAAAGTCATCCATGCTTGCTAGATGTTCATATTCATGTGAGTTTTGCTTCTTTTAATTTCAAACTGATTACCCTGTTGCAGTAAAAATAGCAGAGTCAGATAACAGATTAGTCTTGAGTCTTTAAGGTGCCACAATATTCTTTATTGTCATTTCTTTTGGTTTGTCTAAAATTGAACATAATCTCACACAAGTCTTTGCATTCCTCTTTCCAATACTGGGAAGTTCTAAATGTTTCCTCTTATATAGGGAAGTTGACAATCTTTGCCTTAGAGTCTGAAGGGGCCTTTAACAAATTAGAATGAATTATAGTGCAACCTTTGCAAATAATAAATACTATGAAAATAGTTGAAATGCTCTCTTTAGTGTCCTTGTTCTTGCTAATTTAATGGTTTGGCCTACAGGCGTGTCTCATTTTCTGACACTTTGCTTTTCTGAATTATACCCAGAACCTGTTCATTCGATTCATGGTCTGCTCTTTTGCCCACACCTTGAATTAATGAGTTCTGGTTATATAATACAGTCAACCCTCTGTATCCATGGATTCAAGTATCCATGGCTTGAAAATATTTTTAAAATATATAAATTCCAAAAAGCGAACCTTGATTTTACCATTTTACATAGAGGACACCATTTTGCTATCCATTGTATTTAATGGGACTTGAACACCCACAGATTTTGGTATCCACAGGGGGTCCTGGAACCAATCCCCAGTGGATACCAAGGGCCAACTGCAATTTAAAAGGGTTGAAAGACCAGAGGAGGGATCTCTCACTTGTGGAGTCTGCCTCTTTTCATGCATATACACACACAACCCAGCTAGGAAACAGCCAGAATGTACAGTCTCATGGGTGCTCTGGCTCCTTTCTGCTCTCTTGCCTGGGGAAGAACAGAGGGTGTCACTCCTGCTAAATGGCAGTGGGAAGGAAGCTGAAGGAATTGATGTGTTTGGAGCCCTTGTGTTTTCCCATAAAATGGGGAGAGGGGAATAATCTGGCTGGTGCAACTGTAGGGTTGCCCTGGCCTTTGCCAGGGAGTCAACCACAACACCATGTTCTGTGTTTGAACCTGGAGGATGGAAGCTGCTCAGAAAAGAGTCAACTGTGGTAAATTGACTCTTCAAGCCTTTGCCCCAATCTGTATTAATGAAGAGAGGGGAGCAGTAGGAACAATGAACCTAGTCACTCAGCAGTGCCTTGGCCAAACAGCTTCCACCCTCCATTACTTCACCATGGCTCTGAGAGTGGTGAAACCTAGCAGAGTCAGTTTACCACAGTTAGTGCCATGGTAAAGTGTGGAAGAAAAGGAATAGCAAGTCTAGTTGCTCAGTGGCCCCTAACTGAAGAGCATCCACCCTCTTGAACAAACAACAATGTTGTGGCAGTGGCTGTTGACTAGCAAAGGGCAGGGTGGCCCTGCCGTTTGGAGCACAAAATGGTTTCTGCATTGTGAAGATTTCCACTTTTTAACAGTGATCTGGTCTCTAACTTGTCAAATAAGTATGGGCTTCCTATACCCAGATAAATAGCTCAAACTTTACTTGGCTATAGCTATAAACTGAACTAGATTACATTGTATGAAGAGAGAACATTATGTATCTTTAAGCAATTGATTTTATTTTAGGTAATTGCAATTAACGGATCACTTGTTCTTAAATTATAAAAGTTAATTACTATAATAAATGGTTGAAAGCAGATGTGTATCGCATTCTACAGCTTGATTGTGCATAACACTTATATAAATTAAAACAGAAAAATCCTTCAAGTGAGGAAGATTGATATGTGCATATGTACCTTCAGGTTGCCTGTCGATTCATAGTGACTCCATGAATTTTCTTAGGAAGGAATATTCAAGAGGTGGTTTTGCCAGTTCCTTCCTGTGAAAGGTAGCCTATGGCACCTGGCATTTGTTGATGGTCTCTCATCCAAGTATTAGCTTCCAAGATCAGATGGCATCTTGTTCCTTTAGAGGGTATTCAGGCCCTGTGGAAAGATGTATACGTTACAATAATTTGTCAGCTCCAGTAACAGTACTCTGCATTGATATTGTCTAAATAACTCAAGCTTTACTTGGCTATACCTATAAACTGAACTAGATTACATTGTATGAAGAGAGAACATTATGTATCTTTAAACAATTCTTGTTAAGGAAGTTAGTGGAACTCTGTTTTCTTTATTAATCTGATCATAAACTATAATCTAACATTGTTAGCTTCTTGACACTTTCTTTAGATTGACGGTGTATATACCTATTTTCCTGCGTATAAGAATACTTTTTAACCTGCAAAATCTGTGGTTAAAGTGGGGGGGTTGTCTTATACGCCGGGTATAAGGATAAGGAGGATAGAGGTGCTAGAACTCTATATTTTGACTGGAAAATGGGGGGTCGTCTTATACACCCGAAAATACGGTATTCATTTATTCATTTGTTTTACAGTGGCACACATACATCCTGGTAACATAGGGTTGCAACTTGAGCTACTGAATGCTATAACTTTTATGGGTTCTTTTAAATATTAAATACTGTTAAGTAAATACCATGGCAAATTCCTTGAATTAAAAAGAAGCTAGTTTCCAGTGAAGTTTGGTACATATCCTGACACAACCTAATCAGTTTATGCATTTGTCTTACAACCTGATACTATTAAAATACTCCAAAATAGACACTTCCCAGTTTAGCAGTAGGTTGCATCCAGATACTTAGAGTAGACCTTATCAAAATTAATGCAGTATTACTCTTGACTTATTTTAAGCCCCATTTATTTCAATGAGTCTACTTGAAGGATGGCTCTGCATCAATTTCACTTTGTTCCATCTTTCTCCCAAAGTTCCAGAAGGAAGTAAAGTTGACAGACTTTGGCATTTCAGTGTAGTCTTAGATTTGTTCTCTGACCCAGAATTACTGGCCCAAATCTTGTTATTCGTCTTTACCAGATAGACCTATTGAATCAGTGGGATTTACCTACGTGCTGACTAACTAACTGTTAGAAGAACGGTTCTACAGTGGAACCTTTACTTACGAATGCTTCATCCTACGAAATTTTCG